AGGGAAGAGGGAAGAAAAATTATTTTTGGATGACCAGACAAATAAATAAAAATAAAAAAATATTTATTTTCTCAAGTAAAAATGTATGTACTTTATTGTAAAAACTTGAATAGTCACGAACACTTTTTATGTGTGGTAAAATGTTTAAATTTTTTAAAAATTATTTAAAAATTTTAAATGAACATCGAGAATAAAAATGGGAAAAAACATATCAATGATCAAAAGGGTAAACGCCAACTTTGTAATAAAATTTTTAAAAAATATATAGCATCTGGTTAGAAGCTCATACCAAAATTTGTACCTGTGTAGAAGGAAACTATAGACAGGTATAAGGTAGGGTTAGTGGACCTGAGAAATCTTTGGATTTCTGGTATCGGATATCTAAACCGCAAAAGTTCAGGATACCCATATTTTTTTCAGACACGAAAATACAGATCAGCCAACCAACGGGGACAAACAGTATTGAAATTTCCTAACACGAGGGGGACATAATTAGGATGTTTGTGGTTATAGCGTAGGAATGTAGCTACATATCAGGTAAAATGAAAAAAAAATTTGTAAGTGGGGGCCTCCCTATAAAGACCCCTTAAAATGAAAATAAACGGAATGTCAAAATTTGATTTTTCTGAATCCTTATATGTACCCTCAAGCAGTGATGTCAAAGTTCCAAGATTTCTCTGGAACTAGTTCCAGTTCCAGAACTAGGTTTTTAATTTTTGTAGTTCCAGTTCCAGTTCCGGAACCAGGTTTTTAATTTTTGTAGTTCCAGTTCCAGTTCCGGAACTCCATTTTTGAAATGCCTTAGTTCCAGTTCCAGTTCTGGAACTAGTTCCAAGCTAGTTCTAGTTCCAAATTTTTAAATTTTTGAATATTAAAGGATTTATCAATTTTAACAAATAAAGCCATAACACTACTCCCACAATTGACTCGACACTCAACACTTGATAGTCGTCCGTGTCGAGTGTCGAGTGGTTTCTCATGCAGTCTGCACCATGTACTCTCTAGCGTTGAGTGTCAAGTGCTTTTCAAGATTTTTTTGAAAGTTAAAACACTCAACACTTGACACGGATGTCATTGTAGGAGGGTGCACTTGACACGGACGCACGCACGGATGCCCGCACGGAACACTTGACACTAGACAAAACACTCAACAAAACACTCGACACGGATGTAATTGTGGGAGTAGCCTTATTTAAAAAATTATTTAGTGTGCGACAAAATCGCATTCACGGGATCCCGTAACGGGATTTTTTTTCAAAATTTTTTACAGGACAGGATGCCGCGCACAAAAAATTTTAACGGGGAGATCAGAGGATGTGAAGGGATTAATGGATTTAAAAGGATATCTGGGGATATTTTTGGTGATATCTGGGTTATAAGAGGATTATGAGTGATAACGGAGGATTTAAGGAGATTGGAGGATAAACTGGAGGATTAAGAGGCCGAAAAAATCCACTTTTTCAGCGCCGCAGGCGAAAATTTTGAGAATTTCTAAGGTCGTAGGCTGAAAAAATTCACTTTTTCAGCGCCGCAGGCGAAAATTTTTAGAATTTTGGAGCTCAAGCAGCCAGATTTCTTCCATACTCAGCGCGCTGCAGGTAATTTTCGAGGAAATTTTGTCAAAAATATACCCCCAAGAACTAGTTCCAGAACTAGTTCCAAAGCTAGTTCCAGACATTTACTAGTTCCATAGTTCCAGTTCCAAGCTAGTTCCAGGCACTTACTAGTTCCGTAGTTCTAGTTCCAAACTAGTTCCAGATAATCGTTAGTTCTGTAGTTCTAGTTCCGGAACTGGAACTAGAACTAATTAGTTCCGGAACTGGAACTGGAACTTTGACATCACTGCCCTCAAGTTTTAATAGTATAGCACAACAATTAAAACAAGCGGAAAATTTTTTGAAATAAAAAAAACATTTTTTAGTTTCAAGCAAAATTGAAAAAGTAAATATCCATTCAATCCATGAAAATGCTAAAATATACTATTGATCTATGCGCCGCACAAAAAGGGCACAAAAGGGGATATGTACTATGAATAATATACTTGTATAGCTTTCACAATTTTATATAAAGGAAATTTAATTTTTATTAAAAATAAATTTTAAATCTGAAAAAATTAATATAGTCAAACCTCATTAAGGTAAACCCATGGGGCTAAAAATTTTTATCTCTTAATGAGGTGTATATTAATTAGAGAGTATTGCTTATATCGAGTGTACTCTATAATGAGGTGTATTTTAAATTCTACTCATTTTCAAATTATCTAAAAAACTAGATAATGATAACTAACTAGGTACATCACTAGACCAACATACCGTATTTACTCTAATAATCCCCCAGTCTTTATTAATTCCCCAGTCTCTATTAATTCCCCACCCTAGGGATGGGTTGAAACAATAATCCCCCAGCCTCTATTAATTCCCCAGTCTCTATTAATTCCCCACCCTAGCGATGGGTTGAAACAATAATCCCCCTGGGGGATTACTAGAGTAAATACGGTATCTAACAATCTCATAGATTTTTTATTATTATCAAAAAAAATTTTTTATTTGATATAATCAGCAGTGATTGATGCCTTAATTATTTCTGAATTCTGCACAAAAAAAGGGTTATTACAAAGAAATTTGATTATTTATCCAACACAACTATGTATAAAGATACAAAGCGAGAAAAAAGTTTTTTTATAGAATTTAAAAAAAGGAAAAGGAAATTGGGGATCATGCCAATGTACCGCAAAGACATACCTAAGTTCGTTCAAAATTGTCGAATCAGGGAAGCCCTCGTATGGTTCTATGGGCCTCGACGAGTCAAATCAAACCCTACCAGGGTGTCTCGGATTCGACAATTTTGAATAAAATTACTGCTTTGCGGTACTTGGGATGTACCCGGGAAATTGACAGAAATCGTTAACATTTTAACATCATATCATTTCAAATTTAATGCGCCATCGCCACCAGCGAGTTTCAAATTTTCAATTTTTATCTCCTTTACTACGCTTAGTGCAGTGACCTCCATCACAGTAGAAATTCTTCTCATCACAACATTCAAAATTTTTCAAATCACCACCACAAGGATCAAGTTCTTTAAGGCAACTATAACATTTTTTTTCTGTGAAAGAGCAATATAGGCCAGAACAGCATTTTTTAGATTCTGGTAACCAATCGCAAGAGTCACCTTCATTCTTAACACAGCCATAAGGTCTACAATTGGTTCCGCCACTTCCTGTAGTTTTACAATCCAATTTAGCACAGCATCTTTTATCTTTAGTGTTACACCCAGGTGCATTTTTATCAAGACAAGTTCCCAAACTCTCCGAAACATTATTTCCATATGTTAATTGAAATAATAAGCAAAAATTTGAAAATAAAAATAGAAGAAGAATAATGTTTAAATAAGCCATTTAATAAATATTTTAAAATTATTTTGGTTAAATTTTTGCGTGTATCAGGGATCTAGCCGTCCTTATTCCCAAAAATCGGGAATTATTTTTATTTCGGCTAGATCCCTGGCATGTATTTTCCTTTTTCTCCTTTCTCACCAAAATTCCAAATTTTAGGCGTATTTACTAGCGTTACCGCGGTATTTTTCGGTATTACCGATAAAGGTATTTACAGACAAACATCGAACATTAGTTGTTGCAAATGTTGAGGATCGCACTTCGGGATCATCAACTGGTTTTCCCAGAATCACCGAACTTCTATAAACAACTCAACAATAGCTTAATAAGCATTAAAAGTCGGGAAATTTCTGTGAGAGGGAGAAAATGGAAATACAAACCAATGTTGGCTTTATACAGACAGACAGGCCTCACTATAAGATAAACCCTTGGTGCCAAAAACGGTTAATATAATATCTTAAATAATAGAATATCGCTTAAGCAGCTTCCCCAAGATAGTGGCTTAAATTGAATAGACAGGCTTAAATTGGGGTGTAACTAGTATTGGGGGTGTATTTAGTATTGGGGGTGTATCTTGTATTGGGGGTCTCTTAAAGTGAGGTATGACTGTATTTTATGTTAATTGCTGGAAATGGCTGGAATATTTATATGACCAAGAAACATTTAGTTTGGTTATTGTGTAAGGTTGATATTGAACCAAATAATTAAAGTTAATTTGCATTAAATCATAAACAATTTTTTTATTTTTAAAATTATTGCTAAAAAAAGAGAAAGAAAATGCTTTTTTGAACCAAAAAACTTTTGCTAATCCTGGTTCAAAATCTTTTTTCCTCCTAAAAACAATTAAAGTTCAACTAAACTGAAATTATCAGAGAAGGCAAATGAACCATCAAACAAAATGTATTATAATAAAAATATACATAAAATTAGAAATTTAAGTTGATTTTTTAATTGATGAATAAATTTTTATTTTTATTTATTTTTGCCCCTCAATTAATTTACCTAATTTAAAAAAATTTAAATCTTTTTAATGTAAAATTTATTGCACTTTTCTATGATTTGATGAAAATGAATGGACCTTGATAATTTGGTCGAGTTTAACTAGGGTTCGATATTATGGGCAGAGGCTGGGCTTACGGGGAACGGGGGTTTCGAGGAATTCGGAGACGGGGATCGAACCTTAGGGATCGAAACCTATGGCAAAACAAATATTATTCACAATTTATTTAAAGAAAATTTAATTTTTATTCAAAACAAATTTAAATAAATTTGAAAAAATTAATAAGTCAAACATCATAAACTACACCCTTGAGGTATTAGAGTTATATCTAATACTGTGTCTATTCCAGCGGTGTGCCGAAACAGATTTTAAAAATCGAAAAACGAAAGGCGAAACGGCGGTGAGGTCTTACATACCGTATTTCCTCTAAAATGGCCCCACCCTCTAAAATAACCCCCCTCTAGAGGTCGATCGAAAAAAATAACATTGGTCTATTTTTGAGGAAATACGGTTGTTTGACTTGCGGAACAACTTGTTTAACTTACGGACAAAACTTGCGTATGGAAAATGAGAGGAATTAAATTTTATTTGTTTTCATTCCCTCTCTTAATTTTTATAAAATTTTATCAAATAAATTTTGCCATTTTGAGTAACACTAATTGAATCGGATAACTAAAAATGAATTAAATTAAATTTAAAAATTAAAGGAAAAATAACCGAGTCATATTGAACATTAGAAATATCCGAATTTTTATTAATTTCCCAACAGCCTCCATTTTTGAATTTCAACGGATTCGAATGAATTAAATATTTGTTCAATTTAAAATCAAATATAGGCACTATATTTAATTGAATTTTCTTGTTAGTGCTCCCCTCTTCAGCAATAAGCTTGTATAGCACTCCACGTGCCACAAAAGCGTTTATCATTTCTGCCGGATTAATTTCTTTAAATTCCCAATGTTCCAAGTCTTCCAATGTTTGAGGGGACAATTTAAGTACTGAGAGGGTTGAGGAGGAGGAGAAGGGGCGATATAATATCCAAAGAATTGAGGAAGTATTTTGTGAGGAATTTTGTGAAGTATGGGGAGAAGGTAACTGATCATATTCAAAATCTATGGAAGATGATTCTCTGTTCTTCTGATTTGGTGATATGTTGCCGTATAGAGGAATCTGTTTTTAAATTTAAAATTTTATTTTTGTATTTGCTATCAAAAATATATTTCTAGGGTATTGCTTTATTTATATAATTCAGTTTCTTTGAGATACAGGGAAGAGGCATTGGGGAGGGTATCCGTAGAAGAAGGAAGACGGAGACAGAAAGTCAAGAAGCCTGAATCCTGAAGACGGTAATCACTGATTGTGATCCTATCCCTGACCTTATGATTTAGAGAAAAATAAATGCTGGTGGCCCCTTTTCGTTTTTAGTTATTTATGGGTTTCATGTTTGATATTGGATGTTTGTAGGTCCCAATTAGTTGAATAGGGACCTACTATTAGAAGATTTATGACTACAAGACCTTTGGCTATCATTGTTCCAATTATAATTTAGTTACTCATTTTCGTAGGGGTTTCGTAATAATTGTTAAATATGAAAAAAATCTAAATTTAGTTTAATAAAAAAATTCTTCCTCACATTTTCAGCATAAATCAATTTTTTCATTTTTTGTCCATTATTTAAATTAAATGATTGTATCATTACACCCTCCTCATTGTAATTTGAAGCCATTTCATAAAATAAAATTTCATTTCCAGAAACTCCACCAACAGTAAAATCAGTGCCGTAAAATGGTTCAGAGATTGTATGAATATATGAAGGGAAGGATATTGAAGAGGGGAGGAAATTGTAATAAAAATCTTTTTGTTTTTTAGTAAAATGGACATCCTTAAAGTATAAATTAGTAGGATAATAAGGGTAGATTGAGATTTAAAATGGATATATAAAAAATCTTAGGGTTGATAAACGAGATTTCTATGTCTCAGTCCTTTAACTAGTAATCCCATTTATGTATATGTCACCGTCCAAATTACATTTTTGTCAAAATTGAATTCTGCCGGCCAAATTCAATTTGGATAAGAATGTAATTTGGATCAATGACATATGTAATGTATATCTAGGGGATGAGTTGGGCAATCCGAAATACGGACATTTATTGTAATCAGTATCTGAAATTTGTAAACGAAACCCGGACTTCTATTTGACTCTAAATCCAATCCAAAGAGAATTTTGAAAACTTCAGCCCCTCAACCCGATTTATCCCTGTTATGTCCATTCGAGAGGAGGTATTACTCTCGTTTAGGTTGGAAGGCGAAACTACCTTCACTTATTCCTCTACCTAAGCGACTATATAAAATAACAAACCATATTTGAATCAAAATTCGTTTCAGTATAATTGTCAAATTGTAATAAGGTATAACTTAAATTATAGTTAATAAGTTAAAAATTAATTTTCGGAAAAATCTTTGTCCAGTTTATTATTTGAAAGTTTTTTTACTGGAATGGTAAAAGAAACCGGACAAATTTCCCTACTGAACAAAATTTCCCTTCTACCTGTTTCCATATTCGCTCATAAACCAACGATTTCCATGTCTAACAGCACTATTAATTTTTAAATCGAATCTAGTGTTAATCAAACTAGCCGGGCTAATCCATTTGATTATAGAAGAACTATTGCCTAATTAAGGGAAAATTTTTTTATTTTAAAAGCTCATAAAATTCCAAACTTTTCCGTTTTCTCATTTTTTTCCTGTTCCTTTTTAGGGTGTTATTATGTTGTTCTGAAATATTTGTTTTTAATGTTCGGTTATCTTCGTTCAATTCATTAATAGTTATTTGCTTTTGATTAATAATATCCTTTCTTTTACTGTTAAAATATTCAAATTCCTTCTCAAATTCTTTGTAGAATTTATCCAGGCATATTTCTCTGAGTTTATCTGCCTTAAAAATTTTTTTTTATTTTACTTAAAAATTTGAAATTCTTCTTAATGTTGAACCTCTCTTATGCATGAATACATAACAAGGCTAGGGCGGATAGGGAAAAAGGCTGGTCGTTTCTCAAAAATAATTTTTTCGTGTCCGGTTGCGGCTAACGCACTCCACTATCAGATACACCTACCGTTTAGGTAACCTGTATTAATTGCCCTCCCCCAAATAATTACCCCACTTCCATTAATTACCCCATCCAACGATAGATTGAAATAATAATTACTCCAATCAAATGCCCTAAACAAGTTCAAATTTCAAACTTCGTATAATTAGCCTCTCTCGATTAATTACTCGCACCAGCGAAAGGTCGAAACAATAATTACCCAGATAGTTATTAAAGGATATACGGTATGGGTACAGTAACTGGTGGGATAATGAATAATCCTTCAACTATATTCGGGTTTTAGTAGGTTTCTGCGATTGAATTAATTATGTTAGAAAATTAAGTATTTTAGTATAAATTTAAACAATATAAAATTAAATTTATACAGGAATCTGAGCGTAGAGAGGAACAAAAAGTGGAGATAATCGATCAGTTTTTGGATAATTTAAAGACTCCAAATTATTGCTAGCATGATATCTTTGTTCTTCAACGTTGTCCAATTTATTTGATTTAACTTCCTCATCATTAATTATCGTTTTGTACTCAAAGGGCATTTCAAACTAAAATTTAAAAAAAAATAAAAATGAAATAATTTTATTTATTTTTTGGTATTAATTATAAGAAATAAGGTTCTAGCGATCCAACGCTCTAATAATTTTTGATAGACATTTGTAGACATACTAAATCAATGGTAAAACACAAGTATAGGTATTTCAGGAAATATAAATAAGTATTAGGTTTAAAAGTGTTCATCTGATAGCGAAGTCGACTATATATCTTGAACTTTACTAAAATCTAAAAAGCTTTCGGTTCCAGAAGTGGAAATTGTAAAGGTCCGGAGCCGGTTTGGAATCTTAACAAAGCGGTTCAAAAACAGGAACCGTCATATTTTGGAATTTCCGCATCACTGGTACACAATGAAGAGCAGACTCCCTCCCAAAGACCAGCCACCAACATTTAAAAATTTAAAGTTACGTACAAAACTTTGTCGTTTCTCTCGATTTTTAAATTTTCCATCATTTAATTTAGTATTCTTTTCTAAACACAAACAATTTCCATTAATATTTGTTAAAAAATAATTTTTATTTTTTCTTTCAATAATAGGTAAAATAAAAATAATTAAAATTAAAATAATAAAGAAAATAATTAAAATGAGACAAAAAATATTTTTAATAAAACAATTATTGTTTTGTTGTTTTAAATTATTATTTAAGTGTTTTTGGCAGTTAATGCAGTAATTATTAGTTGTTGAATTTTCAATTTTATTAATTTTCTCCTCATTTTTGGAGTTTTCAATTAAGCAAGTTGTTTCTGGAGTCATCTTTTGAGTTTTCTACAGTTCAACCTCATTTTCAGGTAACTACTTGGAGATTGAAAAATCGTGCCTTATAATGAGGGGTACCTTAAATAGAGAGATCCTTTAACTAATCTGGAGAGTCTGAAAATGAGGATCGACTTGATTTTTTAATTTTTTAAATCTAAAGCAGGCATGTTACCGCGGGGATAGAGAGTTCCGCTAAGCTAATCTGCGGAGTATCTAAAAATGAGGTTCGACTGGATCTCTTAATTATTTTTGAAATCTCAAACAAGGATGCTACTTCGTGGAAAGTATGTAGAGGAATGATTCCCGAATAGAAATTTAATTTCAAAAATAGGAAAAGGACGGGTTGCCTTATCAAATCCGTCAAAATAGGCGGGTTGACAAGGTGTTGAATAATAGATACAAAAACTTCTAAGAAACAATTTGCTAGGCTTTAATAAAAATTATTAGCTAATAAAAAATACACAATATTTAATTGTGAGAAAAGAAAAAGGACAGCTGAAAATTTAGAAAAAATAAAATGGGTAGAAATATTTTATAAGCTAATAAAGCTAACAAATATTAAGTCATGTTTTACCTTGTTTTTAGTCATTTATTGGAGAAACTTGAATAAAAATAAAGACTTAATGTAAGGCTTTTGAAAGCTGAACTTCGTTATAAGCAAAAAAATCTCCACGAGTTTCAGATTTAAATTGTGCCAAGAATAACGGACGGGGGAGGCTCAAACCAAAAAGTGGCAGGCCAACGTACAGCGAGCCCAACTAAATTGAACGAAGTTATAGCTCTTCGGTACGTTGGCCTCGCGGTACGTTAGGGTGTACCAACCAAGAAGAGATCCAAACTTATTTTAACACATTAAGGTTAATTAATGAGAAAATTTAGAGAAATGAATTTATGTAAATGCCATCCAAAAATACTTTTTTAATTCAGCGAGAAATTCTCTTATTTATGCCATATTTCATTAAAAATACCCCTCCCTTTTCTGCTTTTCCAAACACATTTTGCCGGTAATTTCCGTTTGTGAGTCCCCTCCAAAAAATAAAACAATTCAATAAAACAATTCAATAAAATGTGCCGTATGGTTAAAGGCCAACATTTTGTATTTTTGTTTATATTGTTGTTTTGTGTTGGAAAAACAATCGGGGCAATGAAAAAGAAAGGAAAATATTTTGAATAATTTATTCGACAAAATTCTTTCTAAAAATCCTTTCTAAATTCTTCCTAAAATCTTCACAGGATTTTTTATTCAATTGATGACCTTCTTAATTTTATCCTTAAAAATTAAGCCTTTCATTTCCGATTTTTTAATTTCCCAGAAAATACTGTAGGAATGTTGATGAAAGAAATGTTTGTTTTAATTTTCCTTTTTTGGAAAAAATTTTTGGAGAGAGAAAATTAATTAAATTATATTCTTGGCAAAAAAATTAATTAAACCTTTAAAATTTTTCTACTTAAAAATAAATAAAGAGTTATTTTAAAATATAAGTTTTAAAAGGCAAAATTATATTTCTTATTTGAGAATTAAATTGAAATAATTCTGAAATAATTTTCCAATAGGAAGCAGCTCTGGCTGGAGACGGAATCATTTTGAAATCAGCTGGGTTATTTTTAAATTTTTTGGAGAGAGAAAAGGATCCACATAGCGCCCAATATCCAGCAATGTTTTTTAGTGTTTCCGGACCGTTGTGGTCAAAAAGGTTTAAATTCTTATTCATTTTGTGTTAGTGACACCCGGCGAATCAATCCTTTAAGATATGATTTTGTTTTAAATTTAAAAAAATTCTTAAATATTCTGGAACATGTTTAACCCTTTGTTTAACGTCTACGATTTTTAAAATAAAAATATAATATGTCTGAATCCTGATAATTAAAAAAACACAATTTTCTAACTAATTTTTATCACGAGTATTCTAACTAACATCAAAAACAAATGAGTGAATTAAAAATATGTAAAATTAAAAACACTGAAAATTGAAAACTATTACAAATTGTGCTAGAAAGGAAAGAAAATTATAGATACTTTTATGGGATTTGCTCCCTCTAAGCTACGGTGTGAAACATTTTCACCAGCAATGTGCCACGAATGTCGGGCAGAAATTTTCGTGTTATCGTTCAAATAATATTTTAAAAATATGAAAGATGACAGAATGTTAATTGATAGAAATGAAAGGATAATTATGACAAAACTTTAAAATAAGCATTAAATATACTTAAAAATAATCGGAACTTTGAATCTACTCTCTACTGAGAGGTTCTATTAGGAACGAAGGTGAAAAATTCCCAACTGAATTTAAAGATTTACAAGTTTTATTTAAAACTTAGATACTGACAATATGTATATTCGTTAAGATCTATTTAAGTTTTGTCATTATTTAGTATAAGGCTAATATCTACATACTTTTGTTTTCGTTTTTTCGGTCCACACGATCTAACTAACATATTCCTTCCAACCTTGTTATCTTCTCATATCTTCCTTTCATTAAAATTTTAATTAATATAAAATATATCATTATATTCCTTACTTCAATTGCCTGAACC